TTCTCTTTCTCTCTTTCTCTTTCTCTCTTTCTCTCTCTCTTTCTCTCTCTCTTTCTCTCTCTTTCTCTCTCTCTCTCTCTGTAACCCTAATAATTAACTGCTTGATGAAGAAGGACTTTCAGAATGTTCTTTTTTTTTCTTCAGTCTCCCATTTTTTTGTCATTATTGTTACCTGCATAATGATCTTAGCACCACATGACCTCTGCCCTTTCTTCAACAGCACCTGTGGATGATGACAACGAGGCAAGTGGGCTCTCGACACTCTCCATTGCTTGCAGTGCGGTCAGGCGGTCGAGATACAACTTCTGTCAGGAACTCGGTAAGGGAGAAATTTTCATGCATTATGAGTGTGAGTGTGTGTGAAAGTGAGCACGACTGTCAGAGAGTGAGTATGTGAGAATGAACGTGAGTGAGAATGAGAGTGAATGTGAGAGGTAGAGTGAATTAGTGTGAGAGTGAATATGATTAAGTGTGAGTGTGAGAGTAATTGTAAGTGTGAGAGTGAATGGGATTGAGAGTGAATGGGATTGAGAGAGAGAGAGAGAGAGGACTCAAGTGAGGATTTTGTACAAAGTTACTCAACTCAGTTTTGTGAAATGCATTTATACATAGATGGCTCCACAAGTGCTCAGCCACCAAGGATTAATAGTATTAATGGTATGTGTTATTGTTATTATTGACATAATTATTATTACAGTGTTATTAACAATACTAATAACCCTTTGAAATATGTTTTAAAGATGTTGAAATTTAAGCAAAAGGATAAACAGGTGAGATAGTTTGGACTAGTGATTGACTCTTTGATGGTTAACCACTTGTAGAGCCATATATATATGGGGGAGAAAAAGGTGGGGGGGGGGAAGGTTAGGCATACATTATTTCAACTGGGTGATTGTCTAGCTTGTGATAGGACACAGAAAACTTCATTTTAGTGATTAGAATATTTGCTTATATTGAAGGATTCCTCAGACACATTTTATGGTGAGCTTTTGGTTCTGGAATAGCTTGACTTGAAGTTCCAGCATCTCATGCCTATTAACCAATTATCGTCGAGCTGCCTTGCGTCACAGCCAGTCACAGTGTAGTATGACTCCACTACCTCCTGGTGGTGCTCAGGAAATACAGACTGCCACCTAAAAAGGTATCCAAATTGTCTCAGTATTTCAGCTTAGATGTGATGAGGTGTCACCTGGTGTCTAGGGTTTATGGTTACCAAAGCATGATTTTTCCACCCATAGGTGGTGCCAATTTCTTGGGTACAGCTAAGGGTACAAAAGCTAATGCCCTGGGTAACTAGAACAGTACAATATTTTGAAGTAGTTGATTGTTAAATGGTACTGATAGGTGTAGAAAAGTATGAATCAGAATTAATATCTTCACAATACTCAAATATTCATGTACTTCTGATGAAGATATTCGAAACTGGTCAAATACCTCTCGTATTGTGAAGATAGTCATTCTCATTCATACCCCTTCTACATTTGTCAACATGAATATGATTTATCGGACTGATAGACTTTCAAATTATCACTAATGTCATTGGCCATATATATTTTTGCCACACACCTCAGTAACACAATTCCCAACAGACCCAGACCTGGATGCTTCCAAAAGGATAGCCGTACTGCAGGCACGGATTCAAGAGTTGAAGAGAACCTACATGCAAGTCAAGACAGAATTAGCCTCTGTTGAACGCAGACGGAAAAAGCTTCGCAGGAAAGAGCGAGAAAGTAAAGACAGAATTAATTTATGTTGATGACATACTTTTCTTTTACTTTTTAAGTTATTTTTGCAAAAGCTCTTCATGTAATTCATCAACCTTGTCATTAAAAGAACTGTAATATGTAGAAACTGACAAGGTGGAATAGCATTTGAAAGAGAGAGAAAAAAAGAAAAAAAAAAAGAAAATAAAAGAAAGACAGGGAATATAGCAGACCTGGAAATTGATTGAAAGATTTGACTGCCAAATTTAATGTGGCAAACCTTTCTTTCCAGAAGAGACCAAGGCAGAACCCACGTGAAAAGTGGCGTCTTTAAAACCCAGTCAGAGTGTGAAGACTTACCATTTAAAAGGTCTGATGCCTGAGCAGCAGCAGTGAATTTTTGCTGTAAAAGAAGAATGGATCTCAAGTAGTGCAGTGTATGTGTTGATTGACAGAAATGTTTGTCTGCCTCTAAGGTGACAGGTTGTGCTTGAAATATATTTAAGGTTTTAAAGATTTTTTCAAAAATCACTTTTACTTAGTATGATTCAAGACTGGCTGGCTGACTGTCTGTCTGTCTGTCTGTCTGTCTGTCTGT